GTGAAAAAAGCCGGGCTCGTGCAGCTCCATCCACACTGGGTGAATCCACGTATATGACATGCTGAGTCAGAAAAATGGTCCGCGGTTGCAGAGATGGGAGGAAGGATTATTCCGAGGGGCCTGAGGGAATTTATGGGGAGTGATGGAAATGTTTGGTATTCTGATTGTGGTGGGGGATACATGACTGTATGTGTGCGTGTGTCAAAAAGTATAGAAGTAGGCCGGGTGCAGTGGCTCACACCTGTAATCCCAGCACTTTGGGAGGCTGAGGCAGGCAGATCACCTGAAGTCAAGAGTTCGAGAACAGCCTGGTCAACATGGTGAGAGCCCCGTCTCTACTAAACATAGAAAAATAAACTGGGAGTGATGGTGGGTGCCTTTAATTTTAGCTACACAAGGGGCTGAGACAGGAGTATTGCTTGGACCCGGGAGGTGGAGGTTGCAGTGAGCTGAGATCAAGCCACTTCACTATAGCCTGGGCAAGAGAGCAAGACTCTGGTCAAAAAAAAAAAAAAAAAAAAAAATCATAGAACTGTACACTGAAGAGGGTGAATCTTACTGTGTGGTAAATTGTGCCAGGCAGAGGAAACAGCCCGTGCAAAGGGCACAGAGGTTTGAAATTGGGCTTGAGATGGTGCATGGGGGCAAGTGGCAGGAAGTGAAGCAGGGAAAACTTACCTGGGTCCGTTTGTGTTGGGCCTTGAATGCCGTGTCAATGCTGCTTTGGATTGTGGGAAAATGTTGAGAGTTTTTAAGCAGTTGAGGAATATAAGTGGATATGTGCTTCAGAGAGACGATTCTGTTCTATGTTTAGAAGCAGAAGCCAGGCCGGGCGCAGTGGCTCATGCCTGTAATCCCAGCACTTTAGGAGGCCAGGATGGGTGGATCACCTGAGGTTAGGAGTTCAAGACCAGCCTGGCCAACGTGGTGAAACCCTGTCTCTACTAATAATACAAAAATTAACTGAGCGTGGTGGCGGGCACTTGTAATCCCAGCTACTTGGGAGGCTGAGGCAGGAGAATCGTTTGAACCTGGGAGGCAGAAGTTGCAGTGAGCCTAGATCATACCACTGCACTCCAGCCTGGGCAACAGAGTGAGACTTTGTCCCCTCCCAAAAAAGCAGAAGCTGTTGGGCACATGGGCCTGACCCTGCCCTTAGAAATGTTTCTATTTGTGTTATAATTTTTTTTGGAAGAGTTTGAATTTGTGCCCAGTGTTTTAGAACCAGGAGATCGTACTCAGAGTTCTGGATTTTCAGTCTCTCTAGATAAGACACCGGCTACCTGTTTGCCCCCTCCACTCCCTCCCTCAGATTCTATTCCCTTCCTGGCCCTGTAGCGGTGTCGGTTTTGATCCCCAGGATTGAAAGTAGATTCCGGGAGGAAGAGATCAAGGTCAGTGGTATCTCTCAGTCCGGGTCTGAACACTTTCATCACCCAGGGAATTTGATTAAAGACCGATGCACAGGCTGACTTGCTGGAGGAGGCTGTGCAAGTGTACTTTGTAAATGTTCCCCTCCACCCCCGGTGACTCTGATGTACAGCCAGCATCGAGAACCACTGTTTCAGCGGGAGGCAAAGGTGAGCTAGGGGTCAGCAGTGGAGGTGGAGAGGTGGACTGAGGGGACATCAGGCTGAGGCAGGGGGAGGAGGACTCAAGTGTGACGTCCCAGCTTGGACAAATGCAGCATGATGGTGCCATCTGCTGAGAAGGGACATGAAAGAGGCAGTCAGGGAGACGTGCTCATCTTGGTTTTGGCCGTGCTGTGTCTGAAGGGCCTGTGGCCTCCAGGCTGAGGGGGTCCGATGTGCAGGTGGCTAACACCGCTGTGCCCATAACTTCCGTGTGCTCTACTTTCTCCTCTGAGATGAGGAAGTTAGCAAAGGTTCTTAGGGGAGGGGAGGGCTATGCTGGGGGGAAATAAGGTGGCCAAGCTTCTCCCAGATCTGTCTGCAGAACACAGGGCTCCCTTGGTGTTATGGACTGAACTTTTGTGTCCCCATGAAATTCCTATGTTGAAATCTATTCCCTCAAGGTGATGGTATGAACAGGTGGAGCCTTTGGGAGGTGATCAGGTCATGGGTGTAGAGCCCCTGTGAATGAGATTAGTGCCCTCACAAAAGAGACCCCAGAGAGCTCCCTCACCCCTCCACCATGTGAGGTCACAGTGCAAAGATGGCTGTCTAGGAGCACAGCTGGGCCCTCAGCAGACACCGAATCCACTGGCACCTTGATCGTGGACTTCCCAGCCTCCAGAACTGTGAATGATGAATTTCTATTTGTAGGCCACCTAGTGTATAGTGTTTTGTTATAGTCACTCCACATGACTAAGGCTCTTTGGGTGGAGGTGGGAAGCCCTTCTTGTCTGCCCTGGGTCATGGGTGCTCAGGCCCTGCTGAGTGAGTTTGTCTGGAGAAAAGTGGGGGAGAAGCTTCTCAAAAGGGGTCCTTATACTTGAAGACATGTGGTGCTCTCACACCCAGAACCAGTAACTCCTTCCTGAAACCAGGACCCTCTGCCAAAACATCTCACCTCCCAGCAGACGCAGTGGCTTTTTTTTCTTTGTTTTGGTCAAAAACTTTTTCTGTATATTAGCAGTGACTAGCCTTTCTGTGCTTGTGAGTGAAGCAAGACAGAAACCATTGTGCCCATTTTACCTATAAGAAAAATGATATACCATGGAGTACTATGCAGCCATAAAAAAGAATGAGATCATGCCCTTTGCAGGGGCATGGGTGGAGCTAGAGGCCATTATCCTTAGTCAACTAAGGCAGGAACAGAAAACCAAGTACTGCATGTTCTCACTTAGATGGGGGAGCTAAATGATGAGAACACATGGACACATAGAGGGGAACCACACACGCTGGGACCTTTCAGTGTGGAGGGTGGGAGGAGGGGGCAGATCAGGAAGAATAACTAATGGATACTACAGTGAATGCCTGCGTCATGGAATCATCTGTATAACAACCCCCCGACACACATTTACCCACGTAACAAACCTGCACATCCTGCACGTGTCCCTGAACTTGAAAGTTAAAAAAGAAAAAGAAAAAAGAAAAGAAAAAGGAAAGAAATACGTTACTTTAGTACCCGTCCCTTGCTGGGTACTTGATATACATTTTCGTGGAATCCACTTAACCATCCTATGGATGAAATAGGGGTTACTGTCCCCATTTTCCAGATGAGGAAACCGAGGCTCTGAAAGTTTAAGTATTTTGCCCAGATGGCCAGCTCAGCAGTGGCAGAGTCGGTAGCCACGCCCAGCTCTTGACATGGTTCTTCAGTGTGTCTGTGGCCCACCCTCCTGTGAGCTCGGCCGGGAAAGCACACACAGACCCACACACGTGTGACCTCTCCAGACACATTTTATTAACTTTGTTGCCCCTCAGCTTTCCTTCTGGTACCTAGTGGATGTCTTCATGGTGGCCTCTGGCCTCTTTTCCTTTGTGGACAGACTCATTTCAATGTCTGTGAGGTCAGCCCGGGGAGGGGGTTTTGTGTCCCCAGTAAGAGGGGGCAGAGACTTTGGCCTTCCCATCCACCGAGGCGGTGCTCACGAAAGTCTCCAGAGCTTCCCCGTGGCAGCCGTTCCTGGCTGGGTTGGGCTCTGTCACCATGAAGCGCTTGTCATGACATTGTCCTGCGATCGTAGTCACTGTCTCAGCTATCTGAACACAGGATGGCTCCTGGCCTCCTTTCTTGACATGAGTGAGGCATCAGGAAGCCCTTGCTCCGGGGAAGATTCCGGACTGAAGCTGACCAGAGTTGGTGCTCAAAAAAAAGACTGGCGCTCTTCAGGGATGGAGTTCCCTTTACACCACCCTCTAATGTTCCCGTTAGACCTCCTCCCTGTGGGCTGGTGGCATCCTTGGCCACTCCTGATGGCCCTTCCCTGGTGACAGTCACTTGGGCTGTGCTTCTAGGGGGAGCTCAGAGTCATGAAGGTGCTTCCTGAGCACCGTGGCTGTCTTAGTGCTTCTGCGGGCGGTGGCTGTGGTGGACAGCATGTGGTGCAGAGCTTGGCCAGGATCGAGTTTCCCATAGACATGGCTCCCAAGCATGACGCTCATGGCAGATGGTTCTTATATGGACATTCCCAACCACAGCCGCAGGTTGTTTCTTCTGAGCTCGTCCTGGTTGGTGTTGGTTGTAGACGGCGTTCATCATTTAGGATGGTTTCATCACTGAAGGTTCTAACTCGCGACAGTTCTTACTATCGTCAGCGTTTGCCATTGAGAACAGCTGTCGCCACTGATGAGTTTTGGTATAGGCGGTCCCACCAGGATGCTGCTGACTACAGATGGTTTTGCCCTGGATGGATCTTGTTGAGATGGCTCGTCACTGAGGTTCACAGTCTTGATATCATTACCCCTTGCTGTTTTGACACACGTGGCCTCAGCATTGGTGAATCCTGACACTACAGTTCTTCTATCAATAGTGGCTCTCAGTATGGACAGTCTCCTCACGGACTGCATTCCCAGGATAGACAGGGGTCAGCATAGGTCCTTCCTGCTACAGGTGGCCTGCCCGCTGACGCTTGTTGCTACAGATGGGACTGCCCATTGATGGTCCACACAGTCAGTGTGTGCTTTTGAAAAGACCTTTCCTACTTGTTTTGGGAATAACCACTCTGGGGGCAGCCTGGGTTCACGGGGCCATGTGCCGCTTTCCGAGAGGCCCTGGCTGCTGGAGAGGATGCTCACAGAGGCACGCACGCATGGGCAGGCTGCTCACCCTTGGTGACTTGCTCACTGCTTTTTGTGTTGCCACCCTTCTTGTCCTCCTGCACAGTGGTGTGGCTGCTCTGCTCATTTTGGGCACTGCCCTCCAGCCCGATGCTCTGACGGCTGCTGGCCTGGGTGGAGGGCAGGCTGGCCATGGAAGTCAGCAGCCCGCTGCTTACCTGGTAGGTGAGGGCACTGCTGCCCAAGCTGATGAAGCTGGTGCTGGACAGGCTGGCGCTGGACGGGCCGCCGCTGCCGCTGCCCAGCAGGCTGGCCTCACTCTTGCCCTCCAGTCTGCTTGGTGCTGTGGGCGGGGCCAGTCAGCTGGCTCTTTAGACAGCTGGGAGAGTCTGTGGAGCCCAGCTGGCTCGTTTGGGTGCTGGGCGCGGGGTTGTTGAGCCTTCTGTTCAACCGCACCCTCCGGCGGCTGCCCACTAAGCTGATGTCACTGCCCTCCTTGTCCCCTGCGTACCCACTGCTCAGGCTGGCGTGGCTGCAGTCCTCCGGCCGGGGGTGCTGCACACAGGACACATGGCTCTCGCTGCTCTGGGTGAAGCTGAGGTTGCTGCTGGACACTTTCCGGGGCTCCTGAGCTGCTCCTGCACTGCGTGGCCACGCGGGGGGCCGGGGCTCTAAGCTGGGTGACTGTAGGCTTGGCTCTCCTTCCTGGGCATTCCGGACAGAGGATTCCCCTTTTTCTCCCTCGAGGAAAATGGGGGACAGCTGAAGTGGTTTATCCAGGGGGAGGGGGACTGGGAGGCCTCTGAATGTTGGCGGAGGCCCGTCTGGGGAGAGGTGACTCCGTATATAAGGCTGCCTTTTGAAAACTCTGTGTGCTGATTGGCTGGCTCAGTTCCCATGGTGATGGGGCTTGTGAGGTGAGGGTGGGGGTGGGAGGGAGAACAATGCTGTCCTGTCACCAGTGACATCAGTGGCCTGGCCTGGAGGGTGGGAGTGGGGCACAAAGGGGCTCATGGCCAGAGTGGGTGGGGGTTACCCTCCCGGAAGCCTTTCTGAGGAGCCTGTGGCCAGACGTCAGGTCAGGGGCCTCAGGTGTGTGTCCCAGCTGAGCTCCCTTTGAGCCGAGTTTCTTCTCTCCCGAGTCTCTGCCTGCTTGCTGAGTGTGTGTGTGTGTTTAAATATTTTTTGTTTGTTTGTTTTTGAGATGGAATCTTGCTCTGTCACCCAGGCTGGAGTACAATGGTGTGATCTTTTCTTTTTTTTGAGAAAGAGTGTCACTCTGTCACCAGGCGCCAGGTTGGAGTGCAATGGCGTGATCTTGGCTCACTGCAACCTCTGCCTCTTAGGTTCAAGCAATTCTCCTGCCTCAGCCTCCCAAGTAGCTGGGATTATAGGTGCCCACCACCACGCCTGACTAATTTTTGTATTTTTAGTAGAGATGGCATTTCATCATGTTGCCCAGGCTGGTCTTGAACTCCTGACCTCAAGCGTTACACCTGCCTCAGCCTCCCAAAGTGCTGGGATTACAGGCGTGAGCCACCACACCAGGCCTGCAGAGTGGTTTTGAGGACAGAAGGGAACAAAGCAGTCAGGAGTATAACCTCAATTCCTTGCCAGATCATCAAGGCTCTGGCCTGGTCCGGCCTTCCCGACCTCGTCACATGCCCTGCCCTGCCCCTTTCTTACCTCGGATTCCCGACCAGGCTGAGCACTCTTACTGCAAAAGGGGCTTGTAGCCTGATGCACTGGACCCCAACACTATGAAACTGTGTTTCTGAAAAGAGCTTTTATTGCAAGTTGGCTCAGAAGGAGGCAGGTGTCAGCTCAAATCTCTCTCCCTGTGCTGGCTTTAAGGCAGTAATTTTATTAGAAAAGGTTTAGGGAGCGGATTCTGAGATTAGTAGGTGATTGGTGCAAGGGGAAGTGAGGGCTGGGGAGATTTGGGGCATGCGCAGTTATCTCTTCCTGCCTCCTCATGGGTCCCTTGTGCAAATCTGGGAGGAGTTAGTGTGAAACATGCAGTGGAAATTCAGGCTGTGACATCAGCGAGCTTGTCTTGCACTGACTCCATCGGCCATATTGGTTCCAGCTGATTTCAGCCAGTTTTAAGTGAAAGGAGTTTCAAGTTGTTTCTGTTTTTATTTGCCTTCCTGCAAATTCAAGAATTTCTGTTAGTGGTTTCTTTAGCTCTTTGGAGAGCACGGTTTTAATATTTCATGCTCTTACCTGCTGCAAGGGCCTTAGCACTGACTGTTTTCACCCCCAGGGTGCTTTCCCCTCTGGCATCCTTTTTTTTTTGAGTCAGAATCTCACTCCGTTGCCCAGGCTGGAGTGCAATGGCACAATCTCTGCTCACTGCAACCTCTGCCTCCCAGGTTCAAGTGATTCTTCTGCCTCCTGAATAGCTGGGATTACAGGCATGTGCCACCATGGCCAGCTAATTTTTGTATTTTTGGTAGAGATGGGGTTTCAGCATGTTGGCGAGGATAATCTTGAACTCCTGACCCTAGGTGATCCGCCCGCCTCAGCCTCCTAACGTGCTGGGATTACAGGCGTGACGCACCGCACTCGGCCCCCTCTGTCATTCTTTACACTGCTTCCTGGTTGATGTTCCTTGTGACATGAATGAATTATGTATTGGTTATTTATTGCCAGTTCCTCAGCCAGAATGTAAACTTAATGAGGGCAGAGACTCTGATTTCTTATTCTCTGCTCTGCCCCCAAGGCCCAGCACAGTGTCTGACACCTTGTAGATGCTCACTAGATGTTGATTAATGAATAAATGAACCACCCAGGGGTGTCCATCACCACCTAGGGAACTTCCAAAAAACATATTTGGATTTTCTTTTTTTTTCACTTGAAAACGTTTTTCTTTTTTTGTGGCAATGGAGTCTTGCTATGTTGCCCAGTAATCCTCCTTGCCTTGGCCTCCCAAAGTGCTGGGATGGCAGGAGCCACTGCATCTGACCAAGATTTTCTAAGACAGTGGTTTTTGCCCTTGGCTACTTACTGGGTTCACCTGGGGATGCCTGGGTTCCAACCCCAGACATTCACCGTTAATTGGTCTAAGGTGAGGCTTTGGCAATGGAATTTTAAAAAGCTCTCCAGGTAATTCCAACGTGCAGTCAGCGTTGAAAATTGTGTTAGCTCGGACACAGGTGCTTTTCTTGTAGACGATTCCAAGTGTAACCTGATGAAGAAGTTAGCTGCAGATGAAAACGCTCAGTAAGCCACTTATTAGTAGACACAATACGTGTTTCTTGAGTGATGGAACGAATTAATATATTCATTGACCCCTAAAGAGTTCATGGGTGGATTTTTAAAACCTCGAGAAGTCACTGAAATTGTACACAAAATCTGCAATGAGCTAAACATATGCTTTCTTTCCCCTAGGGAGGGAGTCACAGCTCTCATAAACTTCCCAAGGGTAGCCATGATCCCCCAAAGATAAAGAAGCATAAAGATCTGGCACAACTCCTGCCTCAGTGTTTGTGAGATGGATGGTCCTGGTGCTTAGGGTGACCCTAAGAGGCCTGGAGAGGGCTGGCCTGCCCTGTTTGGGGTTCAAGGTGAAAGAAGCAGAGCGCTGCTCAGAGAGAGCATTATTATCATCACTGCTAATCATCACTGCCATCATTGCCATGAATTCCTTTCCCATTGCCTGGGCAACTTGGCATCCCTTTGCTGTACACAGCAGCATCTTTTTTTCCTCGAAAATTGTGATCCCTTAGGGGTGAGTGGGTCATCATCTTGCCCTCTAACTTCCTATTGTAACTGTGTAACAGGAACAGGGCTGCAGGGGTGTTCCAAAGACGCTCACTGTTCCCCGACTGGATGTGTTTTCCCAGGTCCTTGGGCCTCACTCACCCAAGAATGGGGAGAGGGCCCTGGTGGCTCAGTGAGCTTGTTCAAGTAAGTATTGGACCCAGAGAGTTTTGCAGAAAAGAGATTCGTTAGGAAGAGAGAGAGAGAGAAAGAGAAATAGAGAGCGCGCCCATGCTGCCGTGGGAGTGGACCCAGAGATGGAGCCCACACAGGGAAAGAGAAAGAGAGAGAAGGCTCCCACGCTGCTGTGGGAGGGGATCCCAGAGAGGGAAATCAGTATAGGTAAGGGAGTATGGGGAATTTAAGCCCGGAGTTACTCCCACCCCATTTAAGTTCTTGTCCAGTGAGAGGACTCTTCCAAACTTCCTCTGGAGGGACTGATCTTTGACTCTGATATTGGATTGCTTGCCTGGCCCACAATTAAAGCCTCCTCCCCCAGGGCTTTTGGTGGGCTTTCTAAGCAAAGGAAACTCACTTGGGCTGTGTACTTTTCCCGCGCACAGGAAAGTTAGACAAAGAACTCCAGGCTCCTAGATGGGGAGGTGGATGGAGGTATGGTGCTGGGAAGTTCTTGCCTTTGAAACCACGCCCCTTGTGAGCCCCGGAGGAGAAGTTAACATAGTCCCTCACTGTCCCCAGCGCTATGCTCTCCATGGGGACTGGCAAGGAAGAGACAGGCACGGTGGCTTAACGGTGATGTTGAGTGGAGGGTGTGGTGGGACCCAGTTGTTACAGGAAGCAGGGACAAGGCTGACCCTTTAGGGGGCTGGCAGGGGAGAGGCAGGAAGTTGGACACCAGGCAGGTAGGCTGGGAGTCAGGACTGACTCTGTCCCTGTGCAAAACCAGAACAGGGGAGATGCCCCAGCTGGGATTAATGGTGAGCGTCGGAACGCATCTTCCCTCTCCTTGTCTTCCACCTCACCTGCTCCGGGCACGTGACATTACGGGCCTGAGGACTGCAGTGGGCATTTGGGCTTGTTCAGGATAAATGGCAGATGCCACAATCATCAGAGTTCCCTTCCCATCTAGCACATCAAATGCCAGGTCCCTAGCCTGTGGATACAGTGAGGCCTCATAAACAGCCATGGCTCAGCTTCTAATTACCTTTTACATCTCTGTGGTTACTCTGGGAGTGTTAGGGAAGGCATTTCGTGGAGCTTCTGTTGTTTGATTCCAGTCTTCTCATTCCTGCCTCCCCTGTGCAGCCACCTGAGGGCAGTGCTCTTACCTGGCCCCTGCCCCAACTGCCCTTGTGCATAAGACCAGAGCTGTTCTGCCCAGGCACTGCTTCTGGCATCCTCCAAAGACACCGTGCTCAAGGCTCACACAGAGCAGCACCCTTCTGAGCTCAGGGTCCCAAATCCCCAGAAGATCCAGGGAGAAGTGGGTGGAAGACGTTTTCTACACTGGGACCTGGTATCTCATTCTGGGACCATTCTCTGAGCTGCTGTTCCTGTCCCCAGTTCCTTGCTGTTTGCCCCCCAGAAACCCTCCTCTCAGACAAACACACATTCCAGCCTCTGTCTCCAGGTTCCCTTTCTCATGCATGTCAATTTCTTCACCCAGGAGACTGGCATTCAGACCAGCATCTCAGCGGATAGAGCTCGACTCAGAGTCCCAGGCAAGGCTCTCACAGGAAACCTGGCTATAACCACATCGTCTGTGGCTCCTGGAGACCAAGCATCCCACCCTTCCTTTGTGTGGCACAGACAATGCTGTATGCTCCGGAGACCATCTCATTTCTCTTCTGGGCTTACAGAAAAAGTACATTTCCAACTCCATCTAGGTAGGGCTAATAGAATGTGGGCAGAAGGGATGTCCACTACTCTAGGCTTGGGCCATAAAATATCTCCCATGCATGGTCCTTCTCTTTCTTCCCTATTTGTAGGGACCTTGGAAGCATGCATTGGACACAGCAGAGCCCTACTGTGCTTGGAGCCTGGGTCTCTGAGTGACTGTGTGGAGAAGAACCCCTACCCTCTGCCCATTGCGTTGGTGATGTCAGTGAGCAGTAAACTGTTACTGGTCTAAGCCATCAAGATTGGGGGGTTTGTTTGTTACCACAGCAACAACTGCTTTGCACGGACCCAGATACTGCTGATGTGTTTCACCAGATTTAGCTATATCCCGAAGGTTTCTGCAGTGGATCCTGGAGCTGTGTTCCTGCCTCAGCACCTCCCTTAGAATCTCAGCATCCAAGTCCCTGGTGGGGAAGCAATGCTTTCT